ATATGTATACTACTTTGATGGATATTTTGGCACACATATGTATACTACTTTGTTAGATGGATATTTTGGTACACATATGTATACTACTTTGATGGATATTTTGGTACACATATATATACTACTGTGTTTGATGGATATTTTGGTACACACATGTATACTACTTTGTTTGATGGATATTTTGTTTGTTAGATATTTTGGCACCCATATGCGATAGTAATGTGTTTGACGGTCATTTTGACAATCATATGTGATTGCACTGTGTTTGATGGATAGTTAGACACCCATAGGTGATAGATATGTGTTTGATGGACATTTTAGCACCCATATGTGATAATAATGTGTTTGACGGTCATTTTGGCATTCATATGTGATTGCACTATGTTTGGTGGATATATTGACACCCATAAGCAATAGAACTGTGTTTGATGAACATTTTGGTACCTTGACATATACTGCATTTGATGGATACTTTTAACATTCATTAAACACAGTAGTATTGCATACAGGTGCCAATACATTCATCAAACACACAGTTAATCCACACATGACAACAAAGAAGACATAAAGCAGTGTATTCTCAAGACTTGTGTACAAGACACATAAGAAACATTTATTTTAGGTTTGATGCAAGAAAACAATTGTACATCCGTCAATCATCAATCTATTAATCAAACAATCAATCGGTCAATCAGTTATAAAAGTCTTAAACTTTCTAAAATGTCAACCCTTTTTAAATCCCTGTATTGCACGGCTATTGAGAAAGAGATGAGAGAGAGAGGAGAGCAAGAGAAAGATGGATAATGTCCATTATCTAAGGTTAAACCAAATTAGGCATTCCTCCAGATGAAAACATGGGATAGGGGTGTGAAAAGAGGAGGGGACTTATATATCTTACATTAATGAAAAAAATAAATATAAATTAGGGTTCTAGATAGGGTTATTTACATACAAAGCAGTTGATGAGAACTTCATTGTGGGTTGTACAGTATTTACAAAAGTTAAAAAACAAAAACCAACAATGAACGTACTTGTGCAAAAGCAGGAAAGAATATTTGTCGTTTAGTATTTACCCGTTTAATGTGCTGGTAAATTTCATATGAATCATATGAATTTTGCCTGAATTGCTACAAAAGCATGATAGGGAACTGACATGATTCAGTGTGATATAAAGTACACCAAAACAACAACAATTCAACAGAATGTATTCCACTTTAATTTAACTGATAATTGAGAGTTCTCTGATAGCAACGGACACAAATACGCTACGAACAAATCTTTGTAAACAAAACAAATTTAAAAATAACTTAATCAGGAATATCCAAATGTGAAAACAATATTTTTTTTAAGGATATACAACCTAATTTCAATTTTTTTTGTTACAAAATATGTCACCTGAATATAAAGGTGGGATCAATGAATGAGATGATGTATGTAAAACAGTGATTTCAACAACAAAAAATGAATGAAGCAATTTGAAGTAAAAAATATATAAAAATCTTTGTTTTATTGGATGATGCATTTGGTCAGTTTAACAGTATTTTTTGCAATCATGTCTGAACTTTGCATCAAAATACTCATGCAATGATGGTATGGAAACTGACAACTACTTTTAAGAGAAACCTCTTGGATTCGGCTAACCCTTCAACAGTCGCCAATGGCGATTTTCATTAGATTTTGCTACTAATGGCCAAGCGTAAACATGAATTATTCTGTGAAGATGTTCAACATTTAAAAACATTATCATCATCCACAGAAATGCTTATGTTACAGTAAACATATTTTATTTTCCAATTTTAAAACATATTTTATTTTCCAATTTTTAAACATATTTTATTTTCCAATTTTAAAACATATTTTATTTTCCAATTTTTAAACATATTTTATTTTCCAATTTTCTGACGAATTGATGATTTCTTCTTATTTGCAAAGTGGCTGAAGAAGTTCCAAATTGGTTATGAAAAACAATGGTACAGTATTAGCCAAAAACTAACACTAATGTATTCATCCTTAGTGGAAGCCCTGACATATCGTGATGACGAATATCCAGAAAAAAAGTTTGTTATTTGATTTCTCCCTCCCATAAATATGAAGAATTCAATAATCACTATATTCAAGGATATTTTGCAAAAGTTCAAGTGGATTTGAAAAAAAAGGCTTGAAACTAATAACACAGAATTTAGAAACGTACATGCTTGAAGGTTACAAAAGTCTACTATTGTCGAGAAAACATTCATTATCTATCAGAGAAATACGCAAAGCAGAAGTATAAAAATTCAGTTCCCTATCATTCCTTCACCGGTAAATGTACAACACTTTGTTTGTCCACTATCTGCTACAACTGACTACCCAGCCACTTGTAAATACATGGACAAATTTGCACAAAATGCAGAAATACATAAAAATTGAGGAAGATTGTAAGTTATTCATTTTTTTTTAAAAAATAGATACAAATAAATTAAAGGCAATAAACATGGAAGGACAGTCTGTTTTTTTTTTTAATAATAATATTAACAATAAATAATGATGTTGCAGACATCAAATACCACAGCAATAATTCATCCAATCGAAATAGAATAAAATCCAAAAAATTCAAGCTTAAAAAATAAAGCTCGATATTATTTGTATCAGCACGCTTCTTCCACACTCATATACACCTGCAACTGTCGTAAATTGGATTACTTTTTTGAAAGTAAAAGTAATCAATGTAAAAAAAGGTAAGAAAAATATTCCCCTTCAAGATTTTTTTCATAATTATTTTGCACTTTCTAGTAGCCATATATACTGCTATATTAACCAATGTTGGTTTAGTAATGGTATAGAAATCTATGCGCATTGTAAAATGATGCACTCAAAGTCTAGAACTTTTTAATGTACGTAAGTTGAGGCACCTATCGAAAAATGACACGTGTCCTCACGAATCATTATTAAAAAAATCTAATTCTAACAAATTTGTGCCATCCCATGAAAAACAAAACAAGATGATGTCAAATAAAAAAAAGAATGATGAATAGCTGAAATAAGTTGCTAAACAAGAGTTGCAATATGAACTTTTCTGACTTTTTATACGGCTGGTATTTTTCACAATTTGTGACATTTAGTCTATTTTATTCCAACTAAATCTAGATATGATTATTTAAATCTACAGATTCAAACCAAGATAAGACAATTGCATAATTCATAAGAAAGAATATTGCCAAAAAAAAACCAAAGGTATAAATATGAAAGGAGCACAACACAGTATTATCCCAGTAGAAGGGCATCCGATAACGTAAACGACTGCAAGATTCTAAATTCTGTTCTTGCTACACTATTCCTCCCCTTCATTAAATTCCATAGTCCCCTACATTGAATTGACTATTCAATATCCCCCTTCTTTGAATGGACTAATCCATATCCCCCTTCTTTGAATGGACTAATCCATAGCCCCATCAATATCATGTGACATACAAGGGAAGTTCCAACACCCAACAAAGTATCACATCTATTTTGTTTATATGAATAATACCCGTACATCCGCTTAGAACGTTCAAACATAACAAATTCAAAGCAGCAATTATTTCACCTTTTCATACTTTGCACAGAAATAATATTATTTTGACAGTTATCCCCCCCCCCCAAATAATTTTCAGGTTTGTGTTCTTAGTCTTTATTTTCAAAAACAAAATTAGTTTTTCAAAGCAAATTGTATTATATTAACTAGTGGCCAGACCTTGACAATAACAAAACAGCTCGACTTAATAAGTGTAAACAAACAATTCAGCTAGTCTAATTAGAGAGTTAGAACAGACAATGATCATCACTACCTCTTTTATTACTACTTCCAACAAACTAAATTAATTCAACTCATTATTTGAAGAAATCTTTTGACATACCCGCCTACCTCAAGTAGGTACAACAAAGCCATAATATTTTCATTTTTTTTTTAGAAATATTGAAAGTAGTAAATTATTTAATGGAGGGTCTTATTTTGTAATAATAATACTGTTATATACTGTTGAAAGCAGAAAGGCTGCAAGTAGGCAAAGATATTTTACAGTCAAGAAATATTTACAATGGTTTTGAAAAGATTTTCAGTTGAAAATTGTAATTCGATACTGACTTTGTTTCATTTCTACTATTTGGTGGTAGGTAATGGATTAATTTACATAATTGACTTTTCTTTACCTAAAACTACGACTGCTATAACGCTGATATTCGAACTATGTTGGGAGAACCCCCTGAGGAATTTGTGCCACTTTGATTAGATTCCACGTCTGTTGTCGGTGTGGGCGTTGGTGTCGGCATGGTAACAATTGCGGTGGTTATCCCCGTGCTTGCAGTTGTACAGTTAACTTTTGGATACGGTGATCTTGCATTTAAGTCTGAACGAGACGTTCTGTTAGGAATCCGAATTTGAATATCGTTGTAGTCTTGTGGAGTAACTGGTGAGGTTGGTGTGGCTGATGTAGGTGCTGATTGGTATCTTGACGATGATCCAGAACGTTGCCTCCTTATCCCACAACAACTGGTTTTTGTGTGATGAGACGATACAATTGAGGGACTAGGCGTAAGTGGTGGACTTATATGGGTTTCCGCTGTCCTGGTACATGGAACACCATTATATGTAAACTCTGTCTCCACAAATTCACGATTCTGTGTGAAACAAATGACAACTAAACCATTATACTGTATTACAAACATAGATAATAAGCTGTTTGATTTGAGGTAATACTAAGCACTGGGCTTATTATTTTAAAATGCACTCAAGTTTTGGAAAGTTAAGTTAGTAAATACAAAAGAACTAATCAGTGCATGGAATTATTCCCAAACCAAGCACAATTGGTCTTCAAACTAATGTATGTTATTATCACTTGGCTAACTTGGATCAGTCTATCATGTACAAAGTAACATACAACCAACTATGGCCCAGCAGTACACATTGAATCAGTGAAGATTGGACAACTTGGACTGAGACCAGTCAACTATGAACTAAGTAACATACAACCAACTATGGCCCAGCACTACACATTGAATCAGTGAAGATTGGACAACTTGGACTGGGACCAGTCAACTATGAACTAAGTAACATACAACCAACTATGGCCCAGCACTACACATTGAATCAGTGAAGATTGGTCAACTTGGACTGGGACCAGTCAACTATGAACTAAGTAACATACAACCAACTATGGCCCAGCACT